GCTAAGCCTGTAGGAGACATTTAACTGGAAAAAGACCTTTGCACGTTTCCATGATGTGTGTTCTGGAAATGGTCCATTAGGCTGCTTTGACGCTTTTATAATATAAATTGTGATATATTACACATTCAAAACTGAATAATTAAACCATAAAAGTATTCAAGATTTGTGCTTGTGGGAATTTGTTTTTGAGTTTGTTAACACTTACCACAGTTTCAAAGCCCTCTTCAGTTTCTTCAGCCTGAACAAAATATCTTGTTGAACAAATTTTACTCCCCTCTTTTGTCTTGATAGCGTAGCATTTTATTCCGTTGGCCAACTCTTTAGTTACCAAAGATGGTAGCCGGAAGTGACAGGAACGATAGGCGGCCACATCCTGTTGTTTTGTTTAACTTATTTAAAAATTATAATATGATGGGGCAACGTGTTCTTTTCCCTATAGAACATGTATATTGCACAATTTTACCATTTGTTATTATTTTTATGGATTATGGAATTGTGTCTATACAACAAGAATAAAATGCAACCATCACTTCACAGGATTTGCTTTTTGGTCGTTCTTGATTTGCTTTACTAGGTCTTTCCAACTAAATGATTAAGAATCCATGTTTATTATGTGATTAACTTTTCTCAGATGAAAACATTTTGATTCATGCCATGTTTGTCTCACTCCAACCTCAACTAAATGGAGCCTCAAACAACCTGTAATGTGACCTCTAGGGGGCGGTCAGCACGCTTTTTCAATACTGAACCAACAGTAATAGTGGATTACTATCATTATTTAGATGAAAAGCTGCTTAGCTTAACTACTCATGCCATTTATGCCTACAACTACCGAAGTGCATCCAGCAATGATACAGATCAACTTTATTGACTCGGCTAAAACCAGAAGTGTAACACCTGATGTTGGGAGGTCAGGCATAAAACATGTTTGATTGCTGCTACACTTTGTCTTTCAGTTCTTGTAAAGAAAGACTGGATGTCTGGGAGTGATAATTAAACTCTGGTAATTCTTAATTTCAAATGCTTAGTAGTACTTTAGATGGCTTTTCAGGTTTAGCACTAAAATAGTTTCAATGGTGTGCAATACCAAGAGGAAAAAAA